GAAACGGTCGATTGTTAGGCAAAATATAGAAGGTACCGCAAAAAGTTAAATACAAAAGTTTTAGGATTTTTAAATATCTATTAGCGAGTAATAAATTTAAGTATACAGGGCCGCTCATAAAGTCGTGGCACATCAAAGTTTCATTTTTTAAATAGAACCTGTATATTATTAGATATTTCAATTCTTCCTTCCTTCAATTCTAAGCAAAAATCGAAATACACACACATTATAAAGCAACAGTTTCCGAGTTATCGACTTTTGAAAATATCACTTAAACAATTCCATTTAATTAATTTCGATGTGTTTGGTTTGACTTAATGATGCCATTCTGCCGAAAATGTGATACTGTTGTAATGGGTTTTTAAATTCCTATTAGCTACTAGTAAATTTAAGTATACAGGGTCGGTCATAAATTTGTGTCACATCAAACTTTATTTTTTTTAAAAATAAAACCCACTGTATATTATTGCATATTTCAATTCTTCCTTCAACTTTAAACGATAATCGTAATACACAATATATATAAACTGAAGTATTACATTCGTTATTATACATCTATAAATGCTAACTTGAGAACTAATGTCAAATATTATTAAGTATCACAGTTTCGGCAAAATGGCATCGTTAAATGAAACTGAACATATCGAAATTAATAATTAAATCAAATTGTTTAAGTGATATTTTCAAAAGTCAACAACTGGGAAACGGATGGTCTGAGGTACAACCACATTATGCGTATTTCGATTTTTGCTTAGAATTGAAGGAGGAATCGAAATATGTAATAATATACAGGGGGTTTCATTTAATTAATACAATATTACCTATAATAATAATTAAAATGAAACTTTGATATGCCACGACTTTATGACCGACCCTGTATACCTAAATTTATTACCCACTGATAGATATTTATAAAACCTATAACTTTTATATTTAACTTTTTGCGGTACCCCCTATATTTTATCAAATAATACTACCATCTCCATACATAAAAACCACCCTGTCTATTTTATTATATTATCCAAAAGATATAGCTATAAGACAGTCTGTATACATAAATAATAATTAATGGATTTTTATAATATTTATACACAAACTAGGAAGAGGGGAATCTGACGGTGGGGTGGGGGGAGTATCGTCAAAGGTAAGGTTAATATTTCCTTATTATTTAACTTTAGCAAAAAATTCATACACTGACTTTTCATGTTATTATGTTCTGTAGTAAAGCTTTTCCTTATTTATTTCATCTGAGAATTACATAATTAATAACATGTGTATGCATATAATGGCATCCACTTAAGGTACATTCAGGCTGAGAGCGTCGAGCGTCGCGTTTGCGTCGCGTCCGCCCCATTGAACTCGAAGCCCAACGATCAGCGGACGCTAGCGCAACGCCAAATGCGACGCTGTCTACCCGAACGGTCTAATTTAAGTTAAGTGAATTGATTCCATTTCGACACGCTGACGCGACACTCGACGCTCTCAGCCTGAATATTCCTTTACATGATCGAACAGAGATGACAGGTGTTAGGTAATAGCTTTTAGATTATCGTTCGACACGTTGTTATTGTATATACACATGATGTTATTTTGAATTTCTAAGTTTTGGTTAGTGTGACAAAAAAAATTCCATCATTTTATTTAAACTGCTTGTTATACAGTTGGCCAAAATCTTACCTCTTCAACTTTGTTGACCTTGGTTTTTTATACTACATTACCCACCCTGACTGGGCAGTTATTTTAGCAAACAATTGAAACATTAAAAAAGGTTTTGTTTAAAAAAAATCGCAAAATCTAAAAAAACTCTCGTAACTGGTTAAATAATAAAAAAAGCATAATTTTTTTTTGGATTTCTATTAAATGAACCATTTTTTACCTGTAGTTAACAAAATAGTATGTACTGACATTTACTGACCTGCAGTGAAACGACAATGAAACAACAAAAGATAGTTTAAAACACCCTGTGAAATAATTGTACAAAGTAAGGAATTTTAAAACCATTTATATGTTTTTTGATTCATCTAAATACATTTTTTTGGAGTTATTTCCTTTTGAAAAAGTCTGTAACAATTCAGCACAATCTTAGCACTAAAAGTATGTCTTTCTTGGGTCCTCATACTCTTCATGAAGGTACCAATTAAATAATGTTTAGTATTTTTCTTTAAATCTTCTCTTTTAAGTTTAGTTAACTTCTAGACTTAAAACCATCTCTGCTAGAGTTACTGACCAGAAACAATAATAATATGACTATTCCATCGCATTTGAAAAGGAATAAACTCTATTTCATAGGTGGTGTTCATGAGAACCAAATGCAAAGAGATGCTTATAATTCTAAAAGGACTGTAAATTGTTATTGTCCTCTTCAAAAGCGAATATCTCCAAAAGAAATAAAGCTATTAAGATGAATCAAAGTCAAACTTTCGATAAAAGATTTAATTTTTTTCTACTCAACAGAGAGTTTCAGAATTTTGCGAAAATAATAATAAATAGGGATTTTAATTATTATTAATTCAAAAAGACACTAAAAAGTCAAATAATTTATCTACAACTTGCTTAAAAAGCTTCAAAATCGAACAACTAGCGTAAAAAATATTAAACTTTAAACTACATGGACATTTTAAAATGTCCGATTTTTTTATTAACTTAATAGCAAATTAAAAAAAAATGAGGAGACCATTTTATCTAAATAAAACACAAAATTTGCTAAAAACTACTTTTAATAATTTAATTTATGTAGGATATTTTTAGTAAATTGAGTAAAATTAACACCCGGTATATTACTAGAACTAAACACTGCTAAAAATATCATCTAAAACATAAAAATTTCCCGTGGTAAAATTTTAATTTAAAACCCCATAAATTTTCGCAAAATACCTCCCACTAATATCAACCAAACCAGAACCATAACAGAAAGCAGTTAAACAACCAAATAAATATAGTTTATTCCTTTCGACGTTTTAACAACTGACAGTTGTAATAATAATTGCATTAGAGCGGAAATGTAATATTGATATTTTCATTTGCTGCCACGCCGCTCTGTACTGTACCTTTGGGTTATATTTAATAAAGATAATGACAACAAATTTGCATTAGCTTTAATAACAGGAAATAATCAGAGTACAGTTAGAGTAAGGTACATTTCCAAGCGACTTTTCTTTTTAAGTTTGGAGCAATACCATTTTGGTATTTGTAGGATGAATAAATTAAACACCTACTGATATAAATTGGTTATATTTTAATTTTAAATTGGGAAACATCGTTTGATCGTGTTTCAAAAAATATGTGCCATCTCTCGTGGGGAAATTCCTCACATAAAAATAAGATTTATTTTTCATATCAAAATAGGTCTGATTCTACTTTGTTTCCTAGCTACAGGGTGTTAAAGTCTTACTAATTTTTCGATTTATTATAATTTTCTTCAAGGTTCTTTCAAGGTTCATTCGAATGAAATTTTGAGGCTAAAAGTTACTATAAGTACTACATATTTTAATGCTAAAAAAATGTCGATAAATTCACCAGGGACGTGCATATGGGTTATCACTGGAATATTTTTCGAAAATAAAACATGTGCGCCACTGACTTTTTTTTTCTTTTAATTGTGTAGGCCGTTTTGACAATTAAAAGTTATCTCCTGATATTTTATCGAATTCGGCCTCCTTGATGAGATAAACGAAATGTTATTAATCTCAATTATTAAAATTAAAATAAAAATAAAATTAATAAATTATATATTTTAACTAATTTATTTATTATTAAATATTACTATTATTAGTTATTTTTACTAATAGCCCAACCTCAAATAAAAAAAATAATGGCATAAATAATTAAAAAAAACTAATTAAAAAGTTTTAACATCCTGTAACTCTAAAACTACGCATTTTCATATCCATGTTTATAGGAATTTTTTTTCGTATTTTTTGATGAGGAATCAATGAGTACTTATTTAAAACTTTCACAAGTTAATGCTATTAATTTTTTTTAAAGGTTGCTATTAGACTTGGATCAAGGCAAATGAATAAAATTGCGTTTATCTCATCAAGGAGACCAAAATCGACAAAATATCTAGAGACAACTTTTAATCGGTATTAAACTGCTTACACTATTTGAGCTGACAAGAGAAGAAAAGTCAGTTTAAAAAAGCATGAACGCCATCCTTTTTTTTAGAAAAATATTCCAGTGACAACCCATATGCACATTCCTGGTGAATATGTCGACACTTTCTTAGCTTTAAAATAAGTCGCATTTATAGTAACTTTTACCCTCAAAATTTCATTTGAAACGCTAAAAGTACTTGCAAGAAAATTAAAATAAATCGAAAAAATATTAAGACTGTAGCTACGAAACAAATAAGCAGAATCGGACCTATATGTTGATATGAAAAATAAATCCTATTTTTACGTGAGGGATGTCTTCTCAAAAGATGGCAAATCTTTTTGAAACACCCTATATACAATATATTGCTAATTGGAAATTTTGGAAACGTTATTGCTATAGTTTTAGCATAATCTACACCGAGATCTACACCTACTTTCGTTAAAAGGGTAGAAAACATTTTGCCAAATTTTTAGTTTTGCTACTTTTGCTTTTAAATGAAAAAAAAACGAATAATTAAATTTGAGACTGAAATATAGATTAATTAACGATATTTCGAAAAATGTAATAATATATCGGGTGTTCCATTAAAAATAACAAGGATGCTAAAAATAATTTTGAAGACATATAGAGCAGGTACCTTTATGCACAAATTTGCAATTTTATACGACCTTTTGACTTGTGTATATTAAAGAGTTGTGGATATCAATATTTGTCGTAATGTATGAAGTAAAGATGATATTATGTTGTTACATAAATATCTCGAAAACCTCACAATATATTTTAAAAGAAAAACATAGATATTTCAAAACTTCGACCTATTTTACACATCCCTAGTATCTCCCATCGTAAAAGATCGAAAATATAATAAATTACAGGTGAATATTTTATTGCTTTTCTTGTTGCAGGTGTGTGGTCATCTCGCGGCGGGTGCGCTCGTGCTGGGCGACGAGTGTAACGGCGACTGGGAGTGTCGAGAGCACATTTCTGGGTCTATATGTCAGAGGGGGCGCTGCTCCTGTCAGCCGTTCTACGCCAGAGTCAACCAGACGGTCTGTTTGCAATGTAAGTACGCAATAGAGTATGCATATGTTACAGTAGATGCCAAAAATTAGAGAATGTTGAACCCAGATGATTCCAGCCTAAACGACCATCAATGTACCGCAACAATTTTCTGTGATTTTTCTAAGGCGTTCAACTGTGTAAATCATAAGATCCTAATTATTAAACTGCAGCACTATGGGTTCATGGGAACATCTCTAGAATGGTTTAAGTCGTATCTGAGCAACAGAAGTCAACTTGTGAGAGTAGATACCACGTTGTCTTCTAGCAAGCCAATAGAATGTGAAGTGTGGAGTACTTCAAGGCTCAGTACTAGGCCCTATTTTGTTTCTTCTTTTTATTAACGACATTGCTAACATAAACATCAGTGGTAAAATATATCTTTTTGCGGACGACACTAGTTTCACTTGGAGCAACAAGGACGTAACGGCATTTCATAGGATTATATCAAATGACTTAATCACCATTAAATCTTGGTGCGATTCGAACCTTCTAAAACCATCAACATTTCTAAAACTAAAGCTTTGTCGTATAAAAACTCGCTGCAGCCTTTTGTACTTAACAACACCACTATTGATCGTAAAATATGTAAAATTCCTAGGGCTTGTTGTAGACAATTCTCTGAAATGGGACATGCATATCGACGCTTTGTCGAAAAAATTAAGCTCTGTCTGTTTTGCATTAAGATCTGTTTCTAAGGAGCTTTACTTGTCAGTGGCTAGAACTGTTTATTATGCACTTTTTGAGTTGCACCTCAGATATGCCCTTCCATTCTTGGGTACGTGTTGTGCGACTCAATTTGACTGCATTTTCAAGCTCCAGAAGAGAGCTGTTCGATATTCATTGGTACTAAACAGCAGAACTCATTGTCAGGATTTAAAAAAAAAATTAAAAAATATTAACTCTTCCTTCCTTATTTATATTTGAATCCGTTTGCCTAATACGTAGGCATGTATCAGCTTCTCAAGAAAGGCCATCTCACGCTTATCCACTCAGGAACGCAAGACCTTTATCTACCTACCCCACGCTCAAAGTTAGTTAAAAGTTTCATAAGATACAACTCGAAAAAAATGCACAATCACCTCCCATTTGAATAATTACATTATGTTTCTCGGATAGCGTGGATGCACCCTGAAATCTTATTTACTCTTCAAGGCTTTCTACGCCGTAAATGACTTATATTTTGATAACGGAATTTGATCTTGTAAACACTGGTCTAATATTTGCTATTGCTATATTTGATATAAACTTACTAAATATTTTTCAATCTTATTTTTATTTTTTTTATTCTTTGATATTATAAACATTTATAAATGTTTATTTTAAACAATAAGACTATAAATAATAATTTGTATTCTCTATTGTTTGTTTGTTTTCTTTACCTTTGTCTACAAATTGTAAAATTTTTTGACAATAAAGGCATTTATTTATTTATTTGAACCGTCGCGTCGTCAGTTTGATATGGTACTGAATTTTTTTTTCACAAGGGGCCGTCCTCTGCCGGAAACAGTGCGACCTGTAAGGCCTATTGTGTTTGTCCCCTTTCTATATCTGCACCCATTCTCCTATCCCTGTGCCCTGCACTAACTTATGCAGGTCCTTGATAGAATGGGAGCATAGTTCCTCCGGTTCTGGCCTAGCTTTCCCAAATAAAAAGTGTCGCTTGCGATCCAGAGCCTCGCTGGGACATATTATGTGGTCCGCTGTTTCTGCAGCAAAAACTTCCTTTATACAGGTTGAGCTTGTTCAGGTAACACTTGACAGCTATGTGTCCTGTCAAGAGGCCTGTTGTAATCCGCAATTTATTCCTGCTAAGCATAGCAGTTCTTTTGCGGTTTTAGAGCTAGGTCCTTGGATAAAAGCCTTGCTGTGCCTGTGCCCCTGTCTGTTTCTCCAGTGAACATTCTGCTTCTCCCTGATCCAGAGTTTTAGTGCACTACGGGCCATACATTTGGGTATTCCCAGTACTGGCTCTGGACCAAGATAGGATGCCGATGATCCTTGCCTAGCTAGCTCATCTATGGTACTGCATTTAGTACCACATAGAACTGACGACGGAGTACATTGCACATAAAATAAGCCACAACTTTATTTGTTCCAATCTTATGATTTCTAGTGTAAGCGGTCAGAGAGTTTGTCATCGTCGTATCCTTTTCCGGTTTAGGTTTAAAATATACTTCTCCAATACTTCTCCTTCTTGGAGGTTGATATCGAAGTACTTTTTGTAGAATTCTATCATCTGTCATTCTTTCTACATGTTCCTTCCATTTCTTTTGATATACTTTTACTTTTTTTTCGAATTATGGATGTATTTTTAGTTCATTTCTTTTTGTGTCATTTCTTATTCTATCTTCTCTACTTGTTCCTTTTATTTTTCGTAAGAATGTCATCTCCAAATCTTTGTTCATTAACTTTTGTGGTAGTCCAGGCTTCACTTCCATATGCTACTATCGGTATCGCTAATATATTATATAGACTTACTTGCGTTTCTAGCCGTGCTTTGGTTTTAAAAGTGTTTGCAATAGTTCAACATACTAACTGGAATTTATCTATTTTTTTTCATGTAGTCATATCTTTATCATAGGTTACGTCGCAAGCTAAGAAGCTGAAGTGCGATATTTGCAGTTGTGGTTTATTTATTAAGACTATTTTTATGCGGATTCCGTCTTTGCCCCAGTGTGCCATCATTTTTGTTTTTCGGTAGAGATTTTTCCATCATATTTTGTTATTATATTGTCTAGGACATGAACCTGCCTTTGTAAGGTATCCTCGTCTGACGCAAAAAACGCAAACAGTAGTATATTTAACAAATATTATCGATCTATTTGGATATCTGTTAGTGCCATTTCTTTTCATTCTCTTATAACTTCACATATATATTAACAAGGGTAGGGGATAAGGGATAGGGGACATCCTTGTCTTGTACCTCTATTAACTTCTATTGTAGTATCTCCTTTCACCATCTTAATATAACTTGTGTGATAACAGCTCTTTAATACATAAATTAAGTTCATGCGGAATCCTTTCTTTATCATTACTTTCCATAACTTGTCTCTATTTACATAATCGAATGCTTTTCTAGATCTATAAAAGCTAAGTGGGGTTTTCGGTTAAATTTGTTGGGAAGTAAATACCTAATATAGTTTTGATTTCAATATCTCTGTACTATTCCATACATACGTATACATACTGCTATTACTCGCTGACGAGTATTCGACACGCATCAGAAGATGACCACGCAAGGCGTTTTCTTTCATGAGCTTTTCTGTGACTGAAAAGCCCGATCCCTACGGGATCCTACCGGATACCTACCGCACTCCGGACATTCAAAAAACCCATTGCTTCGTTGTCTCTTTACTTTTTGGTTGTCGCTGTTAACTGAATTTACAATTCTTCTCCACTGAGTTCTATTGTGAACTGCTTCTTCCCACTCATTCTGCATGTTAATCCCCTTTAAGTTTTCGTGGAAAATGTCCTTGTACCTTTTGAGTTGTCCACCCGGCCTCCTCCGTCTACAAGCTCACCGTAAAGCAGAGATTTTGGTATGCGGTTTTCTTGCATTCTGCACACGTGACCAGCCCATCTTAAGCGGGATTTTGTAACCTATAGAGTCGCGCTCACATGCAATCAAATAGTCGGCCTATTCTATATAGATCGACTTATTCATAAGTGTATGTATTGTTTTCACTTTTGCAACTAAATAGTCAGCCGACTAAAAATTACAGGTCAGCGCTTATTGTATCGAATTTTCCTTGACACTAATCCATACTATTTACATTCGTAAATCAGGGAATTCAAAGTGTCTTATTTTTCGAATTAATATTTTTTTTAGAAAATATGCGATAGGTAATTGTTTTGAGTAGTTTATTTGACTATCAAAATATATTTACTCATATATTAGAATTATGTAAATTGATCTGAAATGAAGCCAAAAATGCAATAATATACAGGGTGTTCTATTTAATAAAATTATTCCGATCCACTCAAACTGTCTTGAGCCACCCTGTAGAAGTTAAAATATTTTCCTGAAATACATCCTAGTACGTACTTAATTTTTATTCTACGAGCTGTTGCCCGACGCACTATTGCCCGACCCTGTATAAATGATGACAATCACTAATTGTCGACGAAATTAAAATCTGAAGTGTTAAAGTATCATTATATGTATAAAGCATGAAACTTAGTCCGAACAAATACTTAAAAAATGGAGATATAAAAGTAATTGTTAATTTCGAAATCTTCCTAATAAAATTATCAATTAACATCAACGGATTTTCAAATTATACTAGCATTCAATAAATCTGAATAGGTTCTTAATCGTCATTAATAATTAATTAAAGAAACATTCTCGGTTAATTTACAAATCTACATTCATCTACAACATGCATTTCTGACTTTATTGCCTGAGACGTTAAAGACCACCATGGATTTAATTGATAGCCGAGTGGAAAAAATATCAATTTCCTTATTAGCCCGCTTCTATTAAAAGATTCGCCTGATCCTATTAAAAAATCGTTATAATCGATGTCGATATAATATAGGCCACCTCGAATTCTCATTAGCATCCACTTCGGAACCGGAGAGCGTTCAATTTGAGGAAATTATCTATTTTCCTCGTCGTTGATAAGTCTATTTGCGAAATTACACGCCGCATTTCGATGAATTGATGGCTTATAAAATGATTTGCATACCTTAGGATGTGCTCGCGACTTGACGAGCCAATAAGAAGGAGCAAAAGGAATTGTTACAGCATAAATATGCCTAACAGCTTGAATGTTTACTACAGTGTGAGTGAAACAACTTCATATATTTCAGCATTATTTAAAATTGCATGTCACTCAAGAGCGTCATTTAGAAGAGATTAAATTCTTTTGAAATGGCTATTATTGGCCTGTTCCAGTACGATCTTTTTTATCTATCGTGATCTTCTTCTGATCTCTAGGTTACATTCTCCACTCCTATACCGGGTGCGTCTCAAAAGTGGCTCACCCCTATAACTTTTT